GTGTTTCCTGGCGGAGTGGGGGGAGCCAGGGGACCGTGCTCAAGGGGGGCCCAGGGGGTGAAGAAGAGGTTTTTTCCCTGGCCCACGTCCCTCTCCCAAACAACAATAACATTGCTTCAATAAACACTCACACTCATTCAACTCCACCCAATTAACGCAGACGAGTCGGGCAGTGAAACAAACAACTCACAAACACACTCACACACTCACACACTTCACTCACACACACACTCACACACACACACACACACACACACACACTCACACACTTACACACACTCACACACTCACACACACACACACACTCACACACACACACTCAAATCACAAACACACTCACACACACACACACACACTCACACACACCATCCTTCGCCAGCTGACACGCCTGTCCTCCCAGTCCACACTTCCTCCTGAGTCGGGTGCCCCTGCCTCACTTCCAAGTCCCCCCATCACTGCTGGGCGTCCCCTTCTCTGCAGGCTTGTCCTGAACCCTGAGCTCCACCAACCGGTCCCCGTCCCCTCCTCTTCCCGTCTGGACCCTGCGTGACCTCCTGGCCCAGCAGTGCTCTCCACAAACTCCTGACACACCTGCTTGGCGAGCCCCCTCACTGCACACGATGGCAGCCCCGTGCTTACGGCAGAGCTGAAACCACTCGCTGGCAGTGAGACCGGGCAATCCTGTTCTCCAGGCTCATCAGCTAGAGCGTGAGGTCCCGAAACTCCCACGACACAAGCCCGGTCCTCCTGCTCCCGCTTCTCGAGGACATGGGCACGCTGTCCGGAGGAAGGGCGATTGGCTCCCAAAAGGCCAAGTGTTGCCATTTCTGGGTTCCATAGTAACTTCAGCATCCCTCCCATTCTCAGGGCTCCTAGGATTAGCGTGTAGTGACCCTGCAGCCCGAAAGTGAGCCTTGTCCGCTTCTGGCCCCCCCTGGACGGGAGCACGGGTCCTCTCAGCCCCCAAGCCTCTGCCGAGAGGGGACCCCGCACTGAGAGGCCCAGAGATGAACCAGTCCCTCCTGCCCCCGCATTCGAGAGAGACCTGCAGGGCGACCTGAAGGCTCAGACAGGAAGAGGCAGAACCAGGAGGCCAGGAGCCGGGAGATTTACACTGCGTGGAGGGGCTCTGCTCCCCCCGCCCCTGCCCACGGCGAGGACTCCGGGAAACCTCAGGTCCGACTGGGGCAGAAACAGACTGGAGGAGACGACATAGGAGGATGCAGAGGGAGGGAGGGCGGAGACGCAGGTCCCCCAGACCCGACTTTCACAGCTGGACAGTGGCACCATGACCAGCGTATTCAGGCTCCCACTGGCCCTGCCACAGAGAAAAAACAAGACCCCGAATTCCT